TTATTATTAAATATTTTAATATTTTAAATATTAAAATATTTTAATTATCTCTTTTCTCTTTATATTTTATTAGAGAAGAAAGTAGCCAACTATACTTATTAATTCAATCTCGCCTTAAAATATGCATCCAATTCCAGTCCATATTTTCTACACCTGAAGCATTCTAAAGTTAGACTTTTGTTTGATAATATTTTTTATTATTTTATTTGTTAATTTTTATATTTTTTATTTTTTAAAAGATATATAAAATATTGATTAAAATAAATATTTTATATGTTTTATATATTTTTAAAATATTAAAAAATAAAAAAATTTACAACTGCAACGAAAACAATGCTGTGAAACGAAGTCTCAGTCAAGTCTAAAGTCTGTCCCAAGCAGGGAAGTTGGTACCCTGCCGTACGATTGATATGGTTGATATTTATCTGTTTTTATATTAAATCGAAATGATATGTGGCTTAGTTTTGTTTGAGTCAAATTTTAATCGCTTTGATCAAATTTTGATATATTGATTGATATTTTAACGTACTAATTGATATTTTAATGTATCAGTCAATAAAGAAAAATTGGTCCATACAACACAATTCAAATTTAACGAGGGATAAATTTTATTTTTGTTCTCAATTTTAATGTTTAATATAATTTTTATTTTTTAATTTTTTTAATATACTTTTTTAGTCTATCAATTATGAACAATGTTTTTTTAGTCTTTCTGTCAATTATTTCGTTAAATTTATCTAAATATACATATTTTTAGTCCTTTAACTTAAAGTGGATAAATGAAAAATATGCACATATTAGAAGTTGAGAGACTAAAAATGATCATTTTAAACTTGTTTTTAATTTATAAGAATATAATAATTTTAAACATTAATATCTTTTATCTTATTTTAAAATTTAATATTTAATTTATAAAAATATATATTTATAGCAATAAATTTGAAACGGCATATGAAAAATTTATGTATTCGGTACATATTATTTCAATAGTAAAATTGGTACACATGCCAGAGTAAGGTATTGATTACCTTGATCCCGAGACCGAATAGGTCCTATAGCCATTTTTTTGTTTTGTTTTGTTTTATTCTTTTAAGATACCTTAACTTTTAATTTTTGGCGAAAACGCTTCTTAAGCCCCTCAACTTTTTTGACTGCAAGTGATATGCCCGAACTAAAAATGAAGTGAATAAGCTTCCAACTCCCTGTAGGAAGGAAATCAGCCCTTTTGTTAATTGAGCCCCTCAACGTCGTTTGGGTAATCGCTTACATGGCAGTAAATCTCCTTTTCAACTGCATCAAAAACACCCCCAAAATTCAACAAACTACCTCACCGAAGGGAATCCTTTTTCCATTTTTTTTTCAAAAAATTCCAAGAAAAGAACAAGCCAAGATCTACAAAAATCCCCAATCCAATTCGCTGAAAAAAGGAAAACCCCAATCTCCCAATCTCTGTCAGCGTCTTTTGATATTAACAAGGGTCGATTAGGAGAGCTATAAATGATGGGCGATTTCAACCTCGCTCTGGTGATTGTCGTGATAGTGGTTTGTGTGCTAGTGTTCATCTTCAATTTCTATCTCCTCATCAATTTCTGGCACCCGAACAACACCAATCAAGCGTAGTTCCCTAAATTCATTGTTGTTTTGGGTCTTTCCATCACCTTGATCTCCATTCTCATGTTGTTAGTGGATGTTGCCAACTAGCAGGCGTGCAGGCATGCCATATACAACAACGCTTGTAATCTCACCCTCCCGATGAAGGATCTGTGGCTCGTTGTTTATATTGTGGATGCTGTGCTTGTCTTCTTCATTATCCCGTTTACCATGTTATACTATGAAGGAGACCAAGACAAGTTTGTATTCCTTGGGTTTTTTGATTTTATAGTGCTATTTCTATTTGAATGGGTTTTCATTTCTTTTAATTTAATCTTGTTGTTTGATTGTAGGAGTGTTGACAAACGAATAAAGAGTGCATCATTGTGGGTGGTGACAACTACAATTGTATGTGCTCTTGTGCTTGGCATTCTATATGGTTAGTGTTTTTGTTTTCCATTTCTTTTCCATGAATGAAGTTGTTTGATACGTTGGATACCACATGGAGATTAGCTGCCATGCAAGCCATTATACAAACGACATTGAGAGGCTTAATTAACAAAGGGGTTGATTTGCTTCATATGGGGAGTTGGAAGGTTTATTCTCTTCATTTTTAGTTTAGGGGCTTAAGAAGGGTTTTTCCTTAATTTTTACTTGTAAGTCTTATAATTTTTGATTTTTTAATTATTAAACCCTAAACTCCCTAATAATTTAAATTCTAATCCCTAAAAAACTAATACTTAAATCTTAAAAATTTAACTCCTAACATCATAAATATTATACCTTAAAAAATTTAAACCTTAAATCTTAACTAAATCCTAAAATAGTTAAACCCTAACATCTTAAATATTCAATCCCAAAAAATATACTCTTTAACACCTTAAAAACTAAACTCTAAAAAAACTCTAATATCCCAAATATTAGGGGTGTTTACATCCAATCCAATCTGATTGATCTGATCTAAACTGATCTAATCCAATAAAAAACTGAACTAAATCAATATAAAATTGGATTGATTTAGATTATAACATTTTAAAACAGATATAATTGGTTTGGTTTGTAACTTTACTTTCAAACTGCTTAAACCGCTCGATTACAAAATAAAATTTGATTATACAATAATTTAATTAAAGTTAAAACCCCTTTTTGGTCCCTGAACTATTGTACAGACCCCCGATTTGGTCCTTGAACTAAAAAAATCCCTGATTTAGTCCCTACTGTTTACCATTTTTACCCCGATTTGGTCATTCCGTTAAAAATTGTGTGACGTGGCCTGTTACTTAACAGTTACCAGATGACATGTCATATAGTAATATAAAAAGTGATGATGTGGAAAAAAATAATATAAAAAAATATTATGAAAAATAAAACTTAAATTTTTTTTTCTTTTTTTCTTTTTTTCTTTTTTTCTTTTTCTTTCTCCTTTCCCTTTCCCTTTCTCTTTCTCCTTCCCCTTTCTCTTCCTCCTTCCCCTCGGAACCCAACAGGCCTGGGTTCCTTCGAACCCACCTAGGTCCAGGCGACGAACCCACCTGGGTCCGTCGAACCCAGGCGATCTGGGTTCGGCCTGGGTTCAACGGACCCAAATCGCCTGGGTTCGACGAACCCATGCGTTGGGTTCAACGAACCCAACTAGGTTCGAAGGAACCCATCGCCTGGGTTCGACAATCCCAAGCTCTGGGTTCCTTCAAACCCAGTGCTGGGTTTGATCGAACCCAGGCACTAGGTTTCTTCTCGAACCCAGGCACTTGGGTTTCTTCTCGAACCCAGGCGCCTGGGTTTCTTCTCGAACCCAGGTGCCTGGGTTTCGTTTGCACCTAGGCGCTGGGTCTCTTTTTGAATCCGAGTACTGGGTTCCTTCGAGAACCCAAGAGCTGGGTTCGTTCGAATTCAGGGGCAAAAAAATTTCTGTTTTTTTTTTTTTTTGTGGGTTTGGTTGTTTGATTAAGATGAAGAATTGTTGGGTT